TTAACCAAAATCAAAGTAGACTATCACTCACCCACACCAGATGGAAAACTCTACAGACTGTCGGTTCACACCCCATCACAAGCCAGCAAAACATCCACGAAACAAAGAAAGGTCTGTCACAGCCAAAAAATACACTCCAGACACGCTGCTGGCACTAGAGGCACAGCATGGCCGCCTGGTAACGGCCATATATATATATATATATATATATATATCGTCAAGCTGCCCGGTAAACCGTAGGCAGAGAGCGAGAAGGGTACAGCCTGTGAGAGCATGAATGGTTTAGGAATGGGAATACCGACGTCGTGATGACGATCAAGGCCATCTGCTGTGTATAGTTTTTTTTGCAGACAAGAGTTTTGTCCTGGGTGGTCTTGTCCCGTCGTTTGGCCTGTGTGGGACTGGGGCGGTGCTTGCATGTGGGACTTGTCATCTAGGATCAGTTTTTGGTGCTGTTGCTTGTTGCCCCCTGTTTTGTTGTATTTGGCTGTTCCCTTCCTCTTTTCTTTGCTTCTTTGCCCTTTGGCCGTGTGCAAGTGGGTCGATATGACACACGGGGGTGGCGGCAGTCGCTGCTCAACCTACATCCACGTGGGCGGCCTTGTACGCAAGAGGTTCTGAACAGGGGAGGGGGAGTTGTAAGGAAGAAGATAAAAAAAATGAATTTATTTTTCTTTGTTTTCTTTCTGTTTTCTTTTCGCTTTTGCGCTCTGATACCTTTGTGAAAAAAAAAAATATATATATCATCACAAAGATATCAGAGCGCAAAAGCAAAAAAAACAAAAGGAAAACAAGAAAGAAATCAATTCGTTTTTTTTAAATTATGCTGTATATCGTCAAACAGAGTAAAATATATGTACCAAAATAGAGAAATTAGATAATCTGTGAATAATAAAATCGAATAATAAAATAAATATGCATCAAAATGAGAAAACTGCTCGGTAAACCGTAGGCAGAGAGGGAGAAGAAGACAACAAACGAGGGGCTGTGACAAAATGTTTTATCGGAGTTTCACCGACTCATCAGGAGGCTGAACCCTGTCCTTGAAGAAAAAAAGCAAATTGCATTGAATATAATACACTATTAGACTTTTTTTTTTTTTTTTTTTTTTTTTTTTTTAATAATTAGACAGCTTTAACGAGCGTAAGATATGCTAAGCCTTTCGATATGGGTTCGGCGAAGGAGGAGTACCTGGGGTTAATTGAAATTAGGATATCTCCCCCTTGCTGGAGACTGACACGAGCCTTCTGCATCTACGTGATGGTATCGGCCAGGTACATTCGTCGGTGTGTCTGCACCTGGACGGTAAGCACGTTGTGTATTCAGAGATGCCCGGGTCTCTCTCAGGCAGGATTTGTGTTAAGAGAAGGGGAAAAAAAGGCATCACGGTTAGAGGAAGGGTTGAGATTCGAAAGAGGAAGTTTTTTTTTTTTTTTTTTTTTTTT